TTGGTTTCATCACACTCAACGGCAGCTTTTTCTGCAAAGAGATATACGAGCTGTGGTGGAGGCAGCTCAGACTCAGGCGACATCAAACTCTATAACTGCTTTCAGAACTGTCACACACGGTTAAGAGTTTGGGTTGGCCTGACTGACATAAGACATAAAAAAGTATTTCTTGGTTTTCTGCTCCAAATTCACGTCACTCAAAAGTCTTCCTCACTGCTTTATCCCCCGTTACCCACTCTTTCCCTTCTTTCCTCATCCCTCATGTTACGTCCTCCCATCTCTCTGTGACCACTGGAAGAGAGCCAGAGCCATTAGGCGCCTGTCAGTCTCAGAGAAGAGAAGGATCTATCCTGTTAGCTGATGGAAAATGAACGGCACTTGGTCACACAATTTCGTAATCCAGCGGGACCTTTGGGGACGGAACGTAATGTAGCAGACGCAAACGGTAACGGAGTGTTTTTGTTTGTATGCAGAAGGACGGTGAGCAGCGTAGCCCCACATCTCGACCCGGTGCTGCCGCACCAGTGCAGAAGAGGTCTGATTCATCGCTGATGAATATTTACCTACCGGCCCTGCCATGTCTGAATCCGCACCGGCTCATGAGGGGGAAAACGGAGGTGTTGAACCTCTGGTGGGTGAAAGTTGTAAATCAGTCTGTAACACCAGTGGCTGTCAAGGTGAAGAGTTTTTCTCTCCACGCTCGTGTGAGTCTGCATCAATGTGTATTGAGAGATTAACATTTATGCGCGCATATTTATGCATGTGTCATGCATCAGGCAACAGATACAGGGTAGGCTCTATATTACATCCACACGGGCTCCGATGGGGCGCTGTCTCACTGAGGGGCTGATCATCCCCCAAGAACGAAGACATAAACACTGACCATCTGTGATGATCAAAATATGATTGATCATTTTCCAAGAGTAGAACGTGACAGACAAACGCGTATCACCAAAGCGCCGCCTCACACACAGGCCCACTCAGCCCTCCTGCCTCCATGATATTCCTCCCCTGGAGAGAAAACTGTGCTCCAAAGATTAATATTTATGATGCCGTGGCAGTACAGAACCGGCATTACAGAGGTGGCATTTGCAGCAGAAGCGGTGGCAACTTTGTGGAACATGAAGAGAAATGTCTTCAGTGTCTCTCTGCATGTAGTGGAGCGGTTAGAGCTTTTATGTGTTCCTAAATTGTATAAGATTCACTGTATTCCATCAAATGTTCACCAGTTGTTCAACTGTCTGAGGGAAAGTTTGAGAGCTGTGATCCATTTTAGTCATAAAGCCAGGATTACAAATATCATTGTGTAGGTTCAAATATTTCCACATGAGATGTTCTTTTCACTAGATTTCTTAAGCTTTGTCTGCTTCTCTCTTTTATTCGTTTTAATCCTCATGACTCAGCCTGATGTTCACTCCCTTTTTCAGCCATGATTGGATCTTCACTCTCCTCTAATTAATCATTTCAAAACATTGCATCATAACTTAATCAACATGACAATGAAACTAACAATGAGAAAGCACTGTTTTAACAGAAATATACATATATACTGGGGATTTCAGTTGTGGAACAAGGAAGAAAAAAGAAGAAGAAAAACAAACATCATCTATGTAAGTTAGCCTAAAGCACCACACGAGTTACCTTTTAATTTAGTAAATCAAGATTATCCTCTCAGAGCAAGACCAAATACTGAGTTTACATCAGAAAACTAAAGATAAATCCCAAATTCGTCATCACAATTATACTAAGGATCAAGAGATCTTCATTATTTGTTAGCTTGTTTGTTGTAAATTACATTATAGTGTAAATTCTTTCAGTTCAACTTCAAAGAATCAGCATTATTCTTCTCTAAAAACGAGCTCACACATATACAGTCTTCATCCAAAAATACTATGATACGAAATAAAGAAATAAAAAAATAAAAAATATATTTTTTTTAATCTGTAAAAGTTTAAAAATGTTTTTTATACAAAGCATTCTTGATCTTTGAAAATGTATGCATAAGTGATCCCGTGTCTTGTTTGTTTTGGAGGCCTTTTGCTGTCAGAGCGAGGCGGCGTGATAATTGGAGGCCAACATTACTCACAGTGATGACTGAACTTTGGTTCTGGCCTGCAAAGATCAACGCAGAGTTCACTCTGGTCCTCTCACAGAAAAGGAACCTCTCGGCCTGTCAAGTTAATGAGAGAGTTGATGCCAAAACGTCTGCCAATAGAATAACCCTCTGAATACTGATGAGTGAAATTGCTGACAATCCATGTTTTGATTTGTCAGTGAATATTCCCGGGTAGTGTGCCTTGCCAGATTCCTTAAATCAATACGCGAGCAGGGATGCACCCACTCCCTGACTTCAGCATAAATGTGTCATTTATCGTAAGCTCTGCCATGCACCCTTGTTTGCATCACAGTGAGGTGACTCTACCCTTGTCTCTCCACTCCAGCATCAGCATCTATCCCTTACACACATGGGGCTCGGGTTCATTTGGATTTTGAGACTATGTCATTGAAGACTAATCTAATTATGAGCACGTTGTCTAATCACAAAACGTCAGATGTCATTACGCAATCATTAATCAGATTTTTACAAAGTTCCCTTTAAAAGCTGATGGCTGATCCAGTGGCTGAATCTGAGACGATGTGGCATAAACCCGCCATATTTATTAACCCTTTAAAGCCTGATCCAAGAATAAAACAAAACAGAAAATTACTTTTTTTTTTGTTTGAATTCCTTATTTGGCCTTTTAACAAAATATGTAAAAAGAAATAACAAAAATACATTTTTAATATTGATAATTCATTACTAAGCGATAAGTCCAAATTATTTTTTGTGTATTCTTCTGCCCCCTGTTATCAGGTATATCCGATTGTGTAGAATAGGATTTTGAGCAAAGTGTTTACCATTGAATTATGCAAAAGGTGTCAGACGCAATACATTTGAGAAACCGTATATATCAAGTATGATACATTTGGCATTACAGGGTTAATGTGTGTTTCCAAAGTGGCTGAATTTTCCATCAGGCTTCAGTGGCTGCGTTCAAATTATCAGCACATTTCTTGATGCTGCTCAGTAAACATATTCTCCACAGTGACCATGTAAATTTTTCTCTAGCTGTCAGAGTGCCAGTTCCACAAGTCAGACTTTCAGCTACAGCAAAGATTTTTTTTTTCTCTGCCATGCACCCTTAACAATGTATCTTATATCATGTCAGGCACACTGGGCCTCAAATGAGACATCACATGGGCGCGTTCAAATTCCGGGCCCTCCTCAACTGCACCACTGCACAGCAAATCTTCCCCGCGAAGTCATTATTTGGATATCTTGTCACTGCTTTCACATGAAAAGAAACCACGAGTAGCTGTCAGCTGTAACTAATCATACACAGTTAATTAACTGTTAATCGGCAAGTGTGAATGCCTCTGTCAAGCCAGATGTTTTGCCGGTTTGCCGATCTGGAGTATTTGTGCGTGCGTGTTAACACGCTGACAGGGAGGAAAGACATCTAGCCGGGGCTGTTTACGAATAATTTGGAAGTTCCACCATGGGGACATTTAGAGTTGCCCATCTTCTGGGGATCGGACAACATAACAATTTCAGCCCGAGGTCAGACAATGCAGCGCTTTGAAAAACTACTCTGCTGCTTGTTCTGGGGGGGGGGGCAAACATTTGAGAGGCCAGATGTATTGTGATACCCTTTACATCTGTGTCTTTTTGTTTCTGTTTCTTGAACTGAAAAAAAAAACACACACAAACAAATGCACAATAAACTAATGATACTGAAACTAAACTCTATTATATTTTCAAGTGAAATTGGGTCTTGGACTTAACTATTGAAATAGTCTTAACCCACAGTGTTCCAAATGAAGAAAGGAACTGGGACAGCATCCTGACAATCCTGTCGGCGGCGGATTTAAGTTAACAGACTCAGGCGAGATGTCCTGGACAGGGCCAAGAGGAAGAAGGAAGAAAAGGAAGAAATAAAGTCGGTATCTTTTAGAGCGGGCTACTTGACTCACACAATTAGGACTTGAATAGCGTTTTATCAGAGTGCTGATCACAAAATTGAGACTAGACATTTTGAGAAAGTGGGAGTGACACAACAGGGCGATAGTGCACGCCCTGTGAAGGAGAAGATCTTTGTTAGTGAACCAACACAAAGGTTTTGTTAGCATAAAACTATTGCATTTAATTTCCAGTGTCTCAATCAATGCACAAATGTTGGTAAGGAATCATAAAAGAGAGCATCATAAACATGCCAGAAAAATAAGAAAGCTATAATACTAGATTGATAAAAACCACATGACGCCTCCTTTGCTTTTAGCTAAGCTCGAGGAAATAAAGCCCAAAAGATGACACACTGTTGTTTATGAAGTTCTAAGATGTAAAATGTATCAGGAGAAAGCCCAGGCATATATTAACCATGATCAGTATTAAATTAAATTGCTTTTGTCGGCGCTGGATTGCGCAGATTGAAATTTTTAATGGCCAATGTAAGGTACTTTTCTAAAGCTTTTGATTTCGTGGAAAGCTTTGAAATGAATCAACGGTTATTTAAGATCATACAATCTGTGTGAAGTTTTCCCAGGAGGACTGCTGTGTCAAAAACCAGACGTTTCTATCCCATTAATGCCAGATGAACGGATATTTTAAGCATTTATGTGTAAATAACATCATTTGTTGATGTTTTGGTTTGTATTTATTTTTCATATCAAACTTTTTTTTAGCATTTGTCAACAGTTCTGACATGATTTCGATAATTTAAGAGTAAGTGTGAAAATGGTAATCGTGTAACAGAGAGGGGAAAGCTGCATGAAATCTGACAAATTGCCTCAGGTGATGTTGAGTCTGTGGTGATTGGATTTGAGGATAACAAGTTGGAAATAATGCGAGGTATGGAGAAAGACCCGACATCTGTAGCTCACTCATCATGTTTTTTCTCTCCTTGAGGCGAGTAACCGTAGGCTACTTCAGCCACTACCCACATAAATCTACCACAAACCATAACATAGTGCTACTTAGTCTTATATTTTTACCACCCTGGAAATGTGAAGGGTGTGCGGAGTGAAAAGAAAACTGTGCCTCTTCGAACCCCAGAAAAACTCAGTTTCTCAGTTGCTTCGCTCCCTGTTGAATAGGAACTGCATGCTCTCATTGTGTTGCTCAGTGACAGAATGACATGCAGGTAATAACAATGGGTTTTTTCAGTATGCTTAGAGACTAGCAAAAAGCCAAATGCATATTCGGTGTAGCTTTGTGTTTGTCCCACAGGGCAGATGAAAAATTAATATCGGCTCTCAGTCTGCATTACCTAACGCAAAGGCCCCTCTACGTTTTCATTCTGTCCACATATTACATGGGCATGATGGATATCACCTCACTGACTTACACTTCAGCATGCTAATTTCTGTTTTTTTAATTGATATTACTCTTAATTCACTCCAGATGCATCTGTCTATGTAGCCTGCAAATCCCAGCAGCGGTGATGCAGACGGGTTATGGGAAATCTGCTCACACGTTTGTGTGTATCACATAAGCTCATCCTCTACTCGATCCCTTTTCTTCTTGGGGTTCTACGAAAACG